TTCTGGCAAAATTGATGAGCTTTTTGCTTCAAAATGGATGCTGAAATAATCATGTCCTTAAGGTGACTTTGAATGTAACTTGTAAAGGGAACTTTCACAGTGTTTTCAGTGTTTAGGCTTTGATTATATTCTTTGAATCTGCAGTGCAGCTTGTGCTTATAGAAGCTACACAATCAGGGTTGGGCTAATGCTTTCATAATTGTCAGCTTATGCTACAGACTGTGGTAGGCATTAAATAGTTCTCAGTATTATCCATTGGGAAATATCAAGCATAAATTCAGACTTTAGATGTTTTCTTAAGGCTAACACTTATCTGTAGCATTTAATTAATAGTGCCATGCCCAGGAAGGAGTAGAAAAAGTAAAAAAAATATACAAATAAATGTTAACAAAAAGGTTAGAATATTTGTTCCTTGTACATTTGCTAATCAAAAGAAGGCAGTGTAGACCAAAATATTCCTCATGTTCCTAACCCAGCAGATCAAGGGAATGCAAAAGATTAGATTCTGATAGGAAATCTTGTTGAAAATACATAGGTTTCTCCAAAATATATGCTTTCTATTTAGTTCCAAGGATACTACAACAAAGAGTGCAATAACTCTGTTTGAGAAGGAGAATGTCCAGCTGCAAAACAGTATTTTTCAACATAGTCATTACCAGTACCTATGTATTTTCACCAGTAATGAACAAGGGCTTCCATGCCTTGCTTGTAAAAAATCTGCAGACATTACCCATTGTTCCACAGCTGCTGTGATGGCATCGTTGCTAAGAGAATGTTGCTCACACAGTCCATCCTTTATCAACCCAAACAGATGAAATTTAGAAGGTGACAAATCCAAACTAAACAACTGATGGTGTAGGGCAGTCCGGCCAAGGCTGGCAAGGTGGTTTACAGAGAGGTTTAGGGCTTGGTGTCTATCATCTGGCAAAAGGATGTCATCTTCTCTGGCCTGATTCCAGAAGGTTGAGCCTTCAGTTTAGTCAGCATTGCAATGCAGCAGTCAGACCTGATGGTTTATTCAGATTCCAGGCAATCCAGAAGGATCATCACTTTCCCACCTCTAAAGACAATGTACCTTACTTAACCCATTGAGAGCTGTGTCTTGGAACTTTTTTTTTTGATGGGTAATTCATGTTGCCATTCCATTGACTGTTTTGACACCAGCTAGTAGAGGTGCAACCATGTCTCATTGCTGGTAATTATGAGATCCAGGAAACTGTCTTTTTCAGTCTTGTATTGGTTCAGTAGTTCCTGACAAATATAAATAGCGTAGTCTTTCTGTTCCTGTATGCATGAGGTGAGTTCCACAGATGTTCAAACTTTGCTGTACTCCAGTGCTGGCAGCATTGTCATTTCCAATGCATTGAGGCTGATATTCAACTCAATAAACAGTTCCCTAGTATTAATCTGCTGATTCGTGAGAATGAGCTGGTAAAAATGCATATGGCTGCCTAGAGCATGGGTTATCTTTCTCATTACTATTGCTACTGCTGGAACACATCACCCACTGCTTCACTGTTGTGTCATCTGCTGTTTGATCTCCATAAGTGTTCAGCAAGTATTGGTGAATGTCAATGAGTGCCATGTTTTCAGCATGGAGGAATTCACTTCCACGCCTTTGCTTAATACACACCTCTGTGTCGGATGCCATTTTGTCAGAGTGCCCTTTGGCTGCCATCTGTCACATGGCAACAAAAAGTAATGGAATATTGGCCAGAAAATTCAACTTCTACTTCCATACCATCGTTTGTGTCTTGATGTCATAGGCCAGCATCATAAAGTAGGAGGCATTGCTTTTGGAGCAGTGAAAACAAAGTATCATCGAGTTCATTGTTTATACACGCTTTGAATATACTTATTAATGGAACAAGAAGATATAAATTACTATTAGCTTAAGAAAATTTGATTCAATATGCTGAGGGGTTCTGGGAACGGAGGGACTTACAAGTTTTGTTCCACACTTCTGTACTGGAGCTCCACAAGCTATGAAATACATCCTATTTTAAGTAGGCAAGTCCTGTGCAAAAAACCAAATAAAATGAAACAAACAAACAAAAAACCAAGGCTTCTCCATAAAAAAAAAAAAAAAAAAGTTTTTTTTTTCTTTTTTTCTCATTTTCTCAGCTGTACAACTCAGGAACTCTGTTGCTGTAACTGTTACATGTGAAATTTCAATAAGATATTTTGTATTAAATAGCAGAACTTGAGGTCTGATGGGAAGAAATAACTATTGCGTCCCTCTATAGGTGCAGCACGTTTCTTACCTAACAAAAAAAAATAAATAAAATAGAGTTAATCAGATAAATAACTGAATTTATGGAGGATAATGTGTAGGCATTGTTGCTCCAGAACACTTAGTAATAGTTGATAATGTTTGGTATGAGGTCATTTTCAACAATTTTCTGTCTTCTGGTGTATGACTTTCCATGTGGGAGGCTTTTTAAAACAAAGTATACTTGGTAAATATTCTGCTTTACTACGGTCTGTTCTTGAGAAAACTCAATGTAATAAATAAGCAAGAAAATAGAAAGTAATAAAGAGAACTGGTAGGAGAGTAGGAGCAGATGAAATACAGTCTGCCAGTGCTTGGATTTTGGTCAAAATGCTAGTTGACATAGAGCCACGTGTCCAGTGGAACAACCTGCAGCTCATCTATTTTCTTTTTTTTATGCTATCAGAAACATTATCAGAATGTGACCCCCAAACAGTAAGAACATTATTGATCTCCTTTTATTAATGAGCTGGGTTTGCTGAGGGTCATACATCAAGACAAATGTATTCTGTCAGTTGTTCTACAGAGATATTACATACAAAGGGTAACAAAATAATATTTTTCATGCTCAGTTTGATGGGATGTCAGACTGCTGTGTGCTTCTGAAAATATTTAATATGCTTAAGCGTCATTGATCTGAAAGTAAAAGTGAACTCTTTGAACTAGTGTCTTGTCCACTATGAAATCAGACCTTAAAAGTTGAACAGAATAATTGATTGATGGCTATTGACTCACTACTGTCTCCTACTATGTGCAGTCAAGGAGGTCTCAACAAGGGAGAATTGCAAGAGAGCACAGCTTTTCCTGAGTTCACATACAGCTGTGACCAGGTCTCAAGCAGAGGCATTTTAAAGGCAAATTCATTCTGTCGCGGCAGCAACAACAAAAACAGGAAATGTCATTCAAAATTATTAATTGATGCTATTAACATGAAAATGAATAGTATGTCTGATTGCAGAGGAGACAGTAATGTGAGCACAATGCAAATAGAGCCAAGGAAATCTGAGAATACAAGAGTTCTATAGACTTGAATAGACTTAAATACATGTATTACAAGGATAAAAGATAAATTTATGTTGGAAAATGCTTGTTGTTTGGAAATATTCTAGCTGTGTGAAGAAGTTATTTCAATTTGGGAACTGAACAAAGATTTGATATTTCAGGATAATCTTCCATTTAGGAAAGACAGATTCTAAGAGACGGGGAGGTGTTTGTGGACTTATAAAACTAGACTTTTACCTAAGGATCTTGCAGATGGCAGAGCTGTACAAACTAATCTGAAGAATTTCTTGCTACTTCAGAGCATATTCAAATTGTAAATTCTGTGAAGAGTGTCTTCTGAACCATTAATGGATATGGGTAAGTAATTATGTAGTCCTGAGTTGAAATCATCATTAGAAATATGTTGTAGGATTGAGTATGTGTGGTCCTCAGCTTTTAAACAATATAAATCTTCAAAAGCTTAGCCAGAAAGAGTGGAAGAAGAATTCACATAATATATTAGCAAAAGACCTCTCTTTCTGGATAACTCCTTTTTTTAAAATTTTCCTTCAAACATGAAAAAGCTGCAATAACATAGATACTTGTTAGCTTGGAAAGATACTTGGAAAGATCAAACAGTTGTTTTTTGATCTGATTAACTGATATCTTACAGAAGCAGTGTGAAAATTTAGCCTTTAAGATAACGTGCTTCCAAACATAGTCTTTGATATGTTTATTTCTTTTTTGTGCAATACATTTTCTTGAAATAATAATCTATCTGGAACTGCACAGTAAACTTACGAGCAGTGTATCACATTGGTCAAAGTGCTTTCCCTGCTTGGAAGAAGGCTTTCATTTTGGTGTACCAGTAAATATCATTTGATCTGCTGTTGTATCTTAGCAGTGTTTCTGTATGATATTTTTGATACAGTCATTCTCTAGAGGCTCTCCTTTTTCATAAAGTATATTCATCTTCGAATGGTCTTCAAGAAATCTCTGTAGTTGTACTCAGGATAATTTGATGACAAACTATTCTGAGGAACTTCACTTTTCGGTTGTTTTCCTGAGGATTTCTCGTACATACCAATTTTTTTGTACAGTGCATGCTTGTCCTATTGAAATCACTTGCAGCTGAAGATACTTGAGGACATTGGAAGAGAATTATCACACATCAGAATTTTAGTATTTAAGAAGTGCTATAACTGACAATATTTCAGGTATGTGTGCTCCAGAATGTAATCCAGACCTCAGAGCTCTGCTTTTACGTTTCTCGTATGGCAAAGAAACCAGAGCAGCTCAAATCCCAGGCACAGAACTGAATTACTTAATTGGAGATGGTGCTTTGTTTGAATTCAGTGCACCCCCAGGTCAAGAGATTTCCTCTGCTCTGGGCCTTTGTTCTTTATTTCTTTTTCTTTTATTTTTCTTTTATTTATTTATTTTTTTTAAAATAATTATGATTTAGGATCCTCCAAGTCTTAAATTGAAGCAGTTTTGTTGTCTACAGATTAACAGCAATTAATAAATTAGTCAGACACTACTTTTTGTCTGCTTTATGGAGGAGAAACTCCCAAAGAAGGGAGAGAATTAGGACTCCTGTTAGTGCTATTACTTCTATGATGACTGACATTGTTTTCCACAGGGCATTCAATGTAGATGGGGCAGTAGCTCAGCAAAAATAAGAGCAATAATATGAAAAGAGGACGCTTATTTTTTATTGTTGTTTTGTTTTTTGTTCTAGCTGTCAAATATGACGAAGCTCATATCCTCCTGAGCACAGATGAGAAATATCTATTACTGAAACAGAGCATTAAAAAGGAGTTCTAATTTTAGCAGGAATTTTTCTGATTAGCTATCTGTATGGGAACTGTTGAATCTGAACCATTGATTGATCACCTGAAGTAAGGACTGAGTCATCCCTGGGAGCCCAGGTGAAGGCAATTCAGCTGTTTGACCGGAAGGGGTGGAACCTGGCTGCACCTCTTTTAGTCCTCATTTAAAGGTTGAATGCCACTGAGCAAGGGTTTCTTTCTGGAGATCCCTTCTTTTAGAGTTCTCTGCTATGAGCCTCAGATACAGGTAAGCATTTAAATTTTGACTGTCTTCTTCCACCATGATAATCTTTCTATGAACGTGAAAATACCATCTTAACCATACCCCTCTTTGAACTGTGCATTTGTTAATTGTACATTCCCTCTTTAGTTCTCTTTTACTTTGTGTATCTCTTTTCTAGGATTCAAATTGTTACGTTAGGTGATGTATCTGCTGAATGAATGTGAAAATAATTGGTTCTGCACTGTGTATTCCTATTCCAAAAAAGTTTTCTCTGTTGAAATTGGTATATTTTCTAATGATTCTCTAATTTCATTATCTGCTGTCTGCTTCAAGACTTCACCTCATGATTCTATGATTCTATGATTCTATGTATGTTTTGCCAGTGAACTTCATAGGAAACTTCATTTCCTTTTCTGCCTGCTTTTATTTTCATCCAGAGATGAAAATATGAAAACGTTTTCTTTTTTTTTTTTCCTTCATGGTTACCTTGGAGTAGGGAATACTTCCTGAGCATACGCATGCAGCAGTCACTCCTCTTCATCTGTCTCATAGAGCGTGGTTTTCTCTACTGACATTTCAATTACTTATTTTTATCCCACAGTAAGATTTTTGGGTTTTTGTGTTACTTTCCCAAACACAGCATTTCAATTCATTGGAAGAGAAACATGTTACAGCCTTGTATGTACTTCTTTTATTTCATTTCCTTTAGTTTTGCTTTTATCTTCTCTGCCATTCTTCAGTAATACCCTAAATTACTTTCCTTCTAAATCCCAGTTTGGTGCCCTCTATTCTCCTTTCTATTGGCGCATCTTTCTTGCTGATTATTTTTTGTGTACTAGCCACTTTTCTTTGTGTTTCTTCCTGTCTCCTTGCTGAACATCTTATTCTTTCTTCCTACTTCAAGCTCTTTTGCCCAGTCCTATTAGCTTTCCGTCTCCACAAATTGGTGGCTGTGCTCTTCAAAAAGAACTTATCAACTCTTTCAAGTCTTTGCAAGCCCCCTACCTTTTAACTGCTGATTTTTCTCTACAGTCCTAGTATTTTTGATTTTATTCAACTTGGACTCTTACAATGAATCATATATAGCATTAAGCAGGTTAGACTGATGCTCATTAAACTGCATTTTAGAATTACAAACCACAAATTTCTCTTATAGATTTCGAGGTCTGCAATTTAATGAAGCAGTGGTATTTTCTGCTTGCTTCAGGGCTGTACTATGGCATCATGTTTGTACTAGTTTTTGGGCAAGAGTCAGTAGTCTAGACTTGCTTCATTTCTCTTTGCTCCCTCACATTGCTCTTCTGTGTTGACTTCACACATCTTTATATCATGAGATGATTTAACTAGAGGTTGTGAAGTACTGCTTAAGCAGAAGAGGTGATCTGAGGTTATGCAAGCAACCTTGATTTTTTCTAACTAGTGAAACTTTTCCTTACAATTTTTTAAACATGAGTTTAATGTAATTTGTGTCTAATATATATATGCTATAGATAAGTCTATCTATCTAATAAGCAGTTTGAAATAATATATGTAGATTCTTCTTTATATTCTTTTCCGTAAGTCAGCAGACTAGAGTTCATTAACTAGATATGGATCTTTTCCAGTCTGTAAGCATTCACCGAAGAATGGATTTAGCAGTACATTCATATGGTAAATGTACTGATATTGCTTACTTTAATTGAAAGTTCAGCTTCTTTTAGCCCTTTTCTACATATGCATATTTTTCTTTTTTGGGAAGAGACCTGTAATCCAGTTTTCTTCTCATTTCAGTAGAATTCCTACTTCTAAACTAATGTAGATAAGTAATTTTGTGCCTCAGTAGACACCCCTGTAAGGGTTAAAGAAATGTATGCGTATTTTTGTAGTACTTACAGAGCTGTATACTTAAGTACTTAAATAATATTGAAGTATTAAATAGAGCAACCGTTATCATAATAAATAGTATCTATTTGAATATTGCCCTATCATAAAAGATTTGTGGTGTTAGTGAATTCTTGCAAAAAAAAGCGATAGACGGCTATAATAAAGTACTAGAAGTTTTTTCCTTTTCTAAAAACAATTTCATAGCGTGTGAGCTGTGACTGGAGATTTGCCACTTAAGTAACTTGACCAGTAATGTTACTTTAGCTTGAAACATGCTTGGAAACACTTATGATGCTTGTATCTCCCAGTTAACTGTAATATGATGATGATTGCAAATGCGGCACTGATAGGGCCATTGGAGTTTATGGAAAAACTTTTGCAGGAGATTCTAATGAATCTTCCAATTAAAAACAGCAACAGAAAGTGAACTGTAGACTAGGCGTATTTCTCTAGACTAGGCATATTTCAACTATTTCCAAAGTAAAGCTCTCCTCTCTTGAGACCTTTTCGCATTTTTATGGTATTTAAAATAGAACAAGGAGACTTGTATTCTTGACTTTTTATTTTAAAGTCACTTACCAAATAGTCAGATTCTGAAATAAATTCCAGATTTTTTTAAAGTCTAATAAGATCACCTAAGTGCATGAGTTCAGTAGATGTACCACCTCCAACTTTTTCTGGAGAATTTGCACACTACTATTGGTGTCTGATAACATGGAAAGAACATGCCATGTATGCTGATCTTAAATAACATAGTAACATACATAGTTGACTTGACAAAAGTGACAGTTACTTGAAATGTACCAAAGATCATGGACGTGGGCGGAATTAGTGATCAAAGGACTACTTTTTTCCTGAGAACATGAGTTCCACATCACTCTGTGCTGAAAGAATTCTCTTTCACTGAGGGAATTGATTTGTTAAACCGGGAGAGTTGTGCACCAAGTAAACTCCATTCGTTGCTCATTGCACTGGACCTTATCCCATTGTGAACATTCCCATTCTTACCAGTACCTCTTTCGCTGCCCTTTAAGGGCCTCACTAACCTTGTTTAAACACACCTTCAGAAGGGAACATGACAAGTGATACCAGCCTGAGATAGCTGAAAATTTGCAAAACATCTAGCGCGAGACTGAGAACTTTATGTCCCTCACAACGAAACTATCAAAAGTGGTGGTTCTATAATAAAAGCCTCTATGGAGACTCTGGACAAAATCAGATTGTGCCCTTCTGCTGGTAACTGGACACATTTCACCTTCATAAATTATTTATAGCAGTTCATGCTAGTGGCTATCTCAGTAAGGAGAACTGCGTTTCTGATCTTTCAGCCCAAATCCTTAAGGAATAACCTCAAAAAATGAAGATATTCATACATAACATTCACAGCTGCACTTGACATTAAAAATCATTGAGATACTGGCTTCCTGGTGTCTGGTCGTTTTCTCCAGATGGCACCTCTGCCTGACCTCTTGGTCCCACCAGACCTACTGAACTTATTACCGCTTCTCTTTGCTGACATCACCCTCTGCTCTGCTGCTAACAACCATCATTTTCTTTCAAATTGGCTAACTAATTAACATAATTATTCCCAACCTTGAGTTTACTGCTTTCATTTTAGATCTAAAGAAGGGCTTGTATGCCTAAAAGCTTATTATCTATAGAGCCTTCTCACAACTAACGCTCCACAAGTCTAATAGAAAAGGAAAGAAAGAAAAAAGTCCTTACAACACTTCTCCCTGATGCATAGGTCAAATATCTATATGTGTTCACACACAACTAATTATTACAGTGCACTTCTGTAAATTAGTGTTATGTGTCTGGAAATTCATTGAAGTTTGGTTGTATTCAATTAAAATACTGTGTATAAAAAAACCAAATCACTAGCTGGTTGAAACAATTTTACACATTCAACTCATCTAGGATGTATTGTAATGGCTGTATGACAGTGCTTAAGAAAAAATAACCTCTTTGCAACTGAAACGAGCAAAAATATTTCTGCAAGTTTTAATAGGGTAAATACCTTTCTAGCTTAAGAGCAGTAGGTAATCTGTCATTTCTTTTAATTGTCTTTTTTTTTCCTCCTGTCAATTGTCAAAACATATCTTAAATACTTAGTTCTGAGCTCTGTATAGATTACTTTCCTTCTTCCCCTTGGAAACAGACTTCGTGATTATTACATTTGATCTTGTAGGAGCAAAAATAATAAGTGGAAATGGGAAATTATTGTTACTCCTGCTTTAACAATAAAATGGTCTGAATCTTTAGTCTCATTTCAGTTATACTTTCATAATGCAAGTTACTATGGAAGAGCTTCAACAATATGCATATTTTCAGGAAAAAAAAAAATCCCTTTCTAGAATTGCCTTTTTAGCTGGTGGTGTGCTCTGTTTCCTTTGGTCTGAAGACTGGTGATTTCAGTCTTCCCAAGGGAGAAGGTTTTCAGATGAGCATCCAAAAGTCAGCACTGAGTATGGCTGTAACAATGGGAGCTTGCACCTTCCCTTTGCTGAAAGAACTACCATGTTGATAATTCCTTACTCTTTATCCTTTAGTCTGCTTGGGCTTCCTTTAATAAGTTTTCTTAATACAGCCTACATGCTGTTTCTTGTCACTGGACGCCAGTGATTCAGGTTTTCTTTTTTTCTGTTTAAATCTGATTTTTAGCTAAACAATGAAAGACATTCCTGTGAATTAAAGCTGAGACTTTTGCCAATGCCCCTGGACTTTGGTGCCATCCTGGATGTATGCTCTATTCCATACCTCATTTTATTCTGGGAACATGGACAGTTCAATTCGTTCTGAATAACTCCTTGTTATCACTACACCAAAGGTGGTAGCGATTGTCTGACAGTCAGGCGACAACTATTTATTTATTTGTTTTGAAGCTAAAATCAGCCCAGGCTAAGACAGACTTGGACACATGCTAATACTTTGTGCTGCTGGGCCAGAACTAAATCAAAGCCAAATAATAATGAAAAGAACTACTTACAAATCAGAAATCAAATTCTCCGTTTAGGTTTCTTCAAAAACAAACAACAAAAGCAGGAAAAAAAGTTAATTTATCTTGTCTTCATCTGCAATGAAATGTGATTCACTTACCCCATTGTGATGCTATTGCTGGTATCCTTTTTAATAGACTTGTGTAAGGAAATTCGTTTTTT